TCTAGTTAAAGATAACTCAAGACCTCTACTAGTTCAGTTTAAATCGACCAATGATTTATCCTGATTCTTTTCCAGTAGATACTTTCTGTGGTTCAGTTAAATCGACACTAATATTTTCTTATTCTTATCCAGTTAAAGATACTACAAAGCCTGGAGTCTGACCAGATAGCAGTTTATTAATTACTATGAAGTCTGGATCTGACCAGATGATAGTATCACCTATGACACCGAAGCCTGGAGCCCACTAGATAACGATATACCTCAGATTCAAGTTGAAGCCTGGACCCGACCAGATAACAACTTAATTTATTCAAATCGATGAAGCCTAGATACGACCAGATAACAATTCAATGTCTACAATTACTGTGAATCTGGGAACCTACCAAATAGCAGTTAATTTCATATTCCTCGATAAGTCACTATGAAGCCTGGAATATGACCAGATAACAGTCAGCCTTATTATCCTCAGTAAGTCACTGTGAAGCCTGGATCCCGACCAGATAACAGCTCGCCTTCGTCTCTCTAGTCAAGAGATAACTCCCCAGTAGAGTAATGGACAATCGAAGCTCCTAGAATCTATTCCCTTAAAACATTACCCATCGGACTCCTCCTCAGACAGCAGGAACAAGAATCCCCACAAAAAGACTTCTCATGAAGTCAGCATCTACTTTGGATGGCATCTCTAAGCCCATCTCTGACGACTCTCCGTCATATTCCTTGGATGGAATCTTTAAGCCCATCTCCGACAGTCTTCTGTCATCTTTTTGCAATGGCATCGGTAAGCTATTTCCGATATTATCCACCAATAGTATCACTTCAGACGAGTGTAAATTTCTGGGCACTCTAGTGTTCAATCATCTTCCACCTTCAGATCACAAAAGGCAGACAAGCCAATATAAATCCTCAGGTTTAAGAAGATTGATAAGGGGAAGCTGTTGTACCTCAAAAATTTCCCTCCCTTTTTACTCAACACATGCCCATTGAGGTCCCCAACTTGCCCAAGGATGACCAAGAATTGACCAGACAAATTCTCCTCCTAAAGCAATGAACCTCTAACTAGGTTTTCAATTTTCATCAAGATGTGTGAGCTCCATTTATCTCAAATGTTTTCCATGGTCCTAATATGTCCTCCATATTATCCATGCCAAATTTCATGCCTTGCACAACAAGTTTGCTCAGTCAAGTGCTCAAACTCCTTAAAATCAATTGTATTAGGTCAAAAGTCAACTGTGGCCTATATACAGTCAAACTTCAAGATTTTTGGTCAACATCAACATTTTGAATTAATATACATAATTTGATAAAGGGTTGATCATGATTCCTCATGAAATGCTCCTAATTCATCAAAAGTCAAAAATTGCTAATTAGGATTTTTATAGGAGAAGTCAACCAAACTTTGACCAGGCATAACTTTCTCATACTTTATCAGAAATTTTTCCATCAAACCTAATTTTTAATAGAATACAATTCCCTACAATTTCTCTTCAGCCCTCAAGTCCAAGAAATCCACCATTTGAAAGATACAAGCCCAGACATTACAGGTCATTTTCAAAAAGTCAACAAAAGCCACTTTTTGCCAAGACCTTTTAGATCAAGACAACATATTCAAATGCAAAATTGATCAAAAGAGGGATTTAACTAGACATCTCGGGAATTCCAAAAAGTCCAAGATCATCATCATGAGATAAAAATTGAACAAGTTATGGCTTTGCCAAGTTGAGAAAATTTTGGAAAAAATTGAAGAAATGTGCAATGTGCAAACTTGAACTTTTAAGGCAATGTCTAAAACCTTTTGGACTTCAAACACTTTCATGACATTATGAAGGGCCTCTAAAATCAATTTTGCATGCCTTTGATTTTATTTTCATTTATTTTGATTTTTATTCAATTTAAAATTAAATAAATATAAGATAAATGCATAAAATGATAGGTTATTGTTTTGGACATTTGGGCTAATGTGTTGTGTCAGCCTTGGGCCCATGATTTCATGCAAAATATGTCCAGGTTCATGTACCAAGCAAAGATGGCAAGAATCACACAAAAATGGATAGTTTTCAAATTGTGATTTTTGTTTTAAAACCATAAGTTAATGCTTGATTCTTTCCATGCTAGACTACTATCCTCACTCCTCTATAAATATAGGGCCATACAAGTTGAAAGGACGAGGACATAACTTCAAGAATACATACAAATTTTGCAAAAATCACATAAATTGTCCAAATTCAAACATACACCTCCAGCTTCCCTCGTGCCAAACTAACCATACCATTCAACTTTTGACGTTCCCAGTGTAATGCCCCAAATTTGTCCTACCCCTTTTACAAGGATAATCTGGCTTACGCATCACTCAATCTTCATGTACATACTTCATTAGGTCATCTAGCATTGCATAGATTCACTAACAATAAGGTTCGATACTTGGGTTAATACTCATGGGATTAGGGTTTCACATAGTTCATCATGGATTCATCTCTTTTGGAGGTTTGTATCAAAAGGTTATCCCTTATCCTCAGGATCATTTGATGAGTACAAAGACTTGGTTATATATCATCCTCAGAGTTCCTTATTCTCGACTTTTCTTGGTCTTCTTCAATATGTAAAGTGGCTTCATGGTTGCTTATAATGCGAGGCATTCTATAATATGGCATTCAGGAGAACGTGAGGGCATGGAGACTTTACAAACATCATCTACTTATGTTCACCATTGTCAATTGATAAGGTTTTATTTCTCTTGTCACTATTCCAGAGTAGTTCTTTGTGAAGCCTTGGGTTCATCAGTGGAAGTCATCATTCAAAGGATTCTATCATTGCTCAAGATGCAAGTCATTAAGGAAATTTTGGTTTTAGGATTTGTGTACTTTATGATGCAAAAACACTCCACTTGGTTAGATGATTTACTTGGGATGCAAGTCTTTTTTTTCTTATTCAAGTATCTCAAGACTAAAACTTAAAGTTTTATGGAGCATTGGAGTTTATAAATCGATTGATTTAAGGAAGCCAAGATTCACTCAAATAGAGGAGGCGCTTATATCTTGTGATATGTAGCTTTGTATGACGTGTGAAGTACATAAAACACAAAGTTAGGGAAGATTGTAAATATAAATTCTTTTAAGAGAGAAGTGTTACTTTACATCAAAAAGAAAAACTATCAGTAAAATCAAGGGATTACAAAGTAGGAAGAAGTACATAATTCAAGTTCAAGCTACTATATTCCAAATCATTACAAGATTAATCATGTCTAGCCAAGACCAAAAACCAGAACCAACATTCACCAAACCAACTTGCATTCGTACTTCGTGTTCCATAATCTGGGAAAATCAAGACACGGTGCAACAACACCTTGATAATACTGCTTCAAAACTGCAACTCACGGCTGCTTAGACCATGTTGCAATACATCAAAGAAAACAAAAAATTAACAACTAAGCAAAGCAACTACTTCATGGCCATCATAAGTAACATGTTGCATGAATCAGAAGTAAAATGGCAGCTTTAGCAGAACATAACTGTTTGCTTTTATATAACAGTACACAAAATCCACTACACAGTACAAGAGGTGATCTGAATTACCATCTAAACGTTCGAAGGGTGGGATTTTGTTCCCACAGCTTGCACAACTAGTCCAAAAGGTCGCCTGTTCAGAAAATCAGAAGTGGAATTAAAAACAGTCAACTCTCAAAAGCTGAAAACCATATTTCTAATTCTCTCCTACTGCACCATTCAGTATATAACATAATTTTAACTAACCTCAAGCTAGCCCATCACAGTTTCAACCGGCTTCTAACGCGCTTTTCATAATCAAAAACCGGATCCCAGCTCAATAAAAAAACTAACCTGCATAATAAAAAGTCAGTTCAGAATTTAACTCTTCTAAAAACCTCCAACTGTCAAAAACAAGATCCCTAACCGATTCTAATCAGTCTTCTATAACCCTGCATAACTAACTTCTAACTTCCTAATTAACATCACCCAAAACTAACAACCCAAAAAGCTTCCTCTAACCATTTAACTACCTTACTGATAGATACCAGAATGTAACTAACTTTCTAACATATAACCAATCTCTAACTGACTTCCCAACCTTCCAAAAAAACCCTAACAACTTTTCATAATCACATAACTATTAAATTTAACAGTTTTCTAACCAACTTTCAACAAAAATTTTAAAACAGAAGGGAAAATAGAACTTCACTCCTAACTGTTGTAACCAACTCCTAACCAATTATGCAACAAACTTAATAGATTCCAACAAACTTCTAACAGACTTATAACAGAAAATAGGATAATAGAATGGGGGGGGGGGGGGGGGGGGGGGGGGGGGGGGATGGATTTCTAGTCGATACTTTCACAAAGAGTTCACACAGAAGAGAGAGAGATGAAAACAAAAAATATAAAAACGATTCTCACCTTGTCCAAGTCTTCAACGTTTTCAAAAGAACTCACAAAATATCAAAAACTCCCTGAAGCTATCTCTCTCAGCACCTACATCATCATCATCTTCCATAAAATCTGCAAAGAACCCGATCCATCTCTGCATCACGTTTGAGGCCTTCAACATCTTCACTCTGCATTCTTCACCATCTTCTTCCCATCAACTTTCCAATCAATATTTCTCTCTGAAAATCACAAAATCTTCATCCACCCTTCTACTTGCCTCGACACCATTCATCAGGATTTCACATAACCTTCATCGTCCTTCAACGCTGCAACCCTCAGAGGCTCACATCATCTCAGAAGTATGTCCATCAAGCTCTACAAATCTTGTCTCTTGCTCACGCAACAGTACACATAAGCGTATACTTCACCCTCATCGACAACATCGTCACGATTCAATCCTCATCGCATCTTTAACAAATTGTATAAGCGCAACGCATCATTGCTTCAACAACGCAATCTAGCCAACCTTCAAAGCAGTCAATTCGGAGTTTACTTCTCAATTTACAAAGCATATAGAAAAAAGTAGAAGAGGAAGAAAATTGGGAACGATCGAAGAGCAAGGGATCAAATACTTTTTACCTGACTTTTCAGTTGTGCCTCTAGTTTTTTTGCGACTTCGACGTCGTAGAAAGGTCGCCAGAACCAGTCCGTTAGGTAAGTTTCTAAACTTTGCCTTCCTTTATTGCTTATCTTTAATTTGGATTTCGTTTGGAAGCTTGTGGTGTATTGAACGAAATCCCCAAGCTCTCGCATCGAGATCACTCTCCATTGTTGTTTAATTCCATCTCGAAGCTCTTAGGGTTTTACTGTTTAGAGGTTGAGAGATGAGACGAGATTGAGAAATTAGACGAAGATTAACTGAACATAATCAGAGAAGAGAACGAGACAAAGCAGATGAATACAATCAGAAGTTGATCGGAGAAGAAAGCGGATATGATGAGGAGGGTCAAGTCTTGCGGGGCGTCTGTGGGAAAGAGAAGAAGAAGGACGCAACATGAAGTTGAATAGTCATCAATTTCAACCCTAACTGACCAAACTACATTGTTTTCCTCTTTTATTTTCTTTTAATTTTTTATATTCAATAATTAATAAAAAAGATGGATAATGATGTTGTTGATGGACTGGATTCCATAAATCCTTGATTGGGCTGATTCTGCACTTTCTTGGCCCTAGCACATTTTTTTGAAATTCATTGCTGAAATAGTAAGAATAAAAAAACAACACCATGAACACTTTCTGTTGGGCCTAACACCCAGATTCCTCCAGCACCCTTGGACTACAGCCTGCACCCCCTTTTAACTAGAAATCTAATGTCCTTTTCCAAAATTAGTTTACTTTCTATAATTTTGATAACCAAAATAAATAAATAAATAAATGATAAAGATATATATGATAGGATATTAGAAACTTCTTAGGAATTAGTTCCTTTTTTTAGAATTTTCCTTACATAAAGGAACTAATAATAAAAAATATACTTTTTCTTTTTAGTCGTCATCCGTATTTTCATGCCGCTTTGCCATATTATTTTTGACGCATTTGTTCATTGTGCGAGGAACTTCTGATTATGCATTGCATTCGCAATACGTGTTTGCCTTTATCTTAGTTGGGTATTATTTCTGACTTTGTTTGTTGCTTGGTAAAAGCTTGCTCAACGTGTTATCCCCGCTTCCTCAGTGCTTTCGTCTGCTCTTGACTACTTGCTCGCTTTGGTAGTCGCCACTACTACTCTCGTACTCCTTCACGCTTTATCACGTTTCTTTACTGCTTTTCTAGAAATAAGGAGAAACATGGGTTTACTGCAAGCTATACATGCTAACATTAGGTAGAAATTCCCCCTGTCATCCATATCTTAGGACCACCATTGCATAATAACATTAGGTTTAGAAATAGGCTAGTTTCCCTTCGACTTTTCTATCCCATTTTTGCATATGCACCTAAAACAAAAAAAATTCTCTTTTCCTTTTAAAAATTTAAAACACTTTAAAGCTACTGATGATAATCACATCTTTGCTTAGTATGAGAAATGATAAGTGGGTCTCTTCTCGATCTTATTATTCTTCATCTCAAGTCTAGGTGTGGTTCATTTCTCAAAGACTCCTTTCATGGCTAAGCAGAAAAGTGGCTAATATCTCTCTCTTAAGGTCAACTAGTCGTTATCTGCAACAAAATACAAACCAACTTAAACCATTTTGTGCGCCCGAGCACCTTTCTCTAAAACCCTTTTCAGGTAAGGACACGATTAATTTACTTCTGTGCCAACGCATAAGTCTCCAAAGGTCGAGCTGCGGCGGAAGGCGGAATTAACTTCTTCTATTAAAAAAAAACATATGAGCCAAACTACGGTAGCTCTGATTCCTCAAAACGGATACGTAGGCATTTGGGTAGGGCCCAAGCGAGCACAATTTTATTTTCCCTACATTCCTTCCTTTTTCTTTTGCATGCATTCTCCTTTCAGTAGTATAGTAAACAGTAAGCATAGATTGAACACACCCATAAGATACATAACAAGAGTGGATACCGTAGAGTACTACGGGCACGTGGGGTGCTAATACCTTCCCCTCGCGTAACAGACTCCCTTACTCGATCTCTCGGTTGCAAGACCGTGACTTCTCCCTTCTTAGGTTTTCTCGATGTTTACCTTTCCCTACATGTGGGATAAAAGACGTTCGATGGCGACTTCATTGTTTGATGATTTTTAGCCGGTTGTTTCAGCTGGAGACTTCACTGGGGACAGGTCGACCAAATGCTGGTCCATCCCGGAGTCGCTCCTAGCTCTTCTTTCTTTTCTTTGGGTGTTTATCTTTATGATTTCAGTTTATTCACTCATTTTTTATATACTTGAGCATATGTATGCATTGCATTTTACTGTCTTCCATATACTACTGTTGTACTGGATTTGCTTCTTGATTGGGTTGGGATGTTACTATTGAGGTAAAAGGCCCAATACCCAGGCCAGAGTGCACTAGGACACTAGAAATAGAGTGGGGGCATGACGGCTACAAGACGTGGTCCGACTAGTGCAGTCATGTCATATACCACACTCGAATGAGGTTCAATTGGAGGTACTTTCATCATGCACGTCTGTGTTGTGATGATTTTACTTTCAAGCGAACCCGTGATTTTCGAGTTACCATTGTCTTACCCCGACCTAGTCTTCACCCGTGAGTGGGGAGGGGATCATTATTACAAGTTCAGATGGTGACAATGTTCAGATGGTCACTCATGTTCAGATAGTGACTATACCCAAGCGGTGATTATCGGTTCTAATGGATATGCTCTGAATTTCTGTCGGTGACTAGGAGGTTCTCAGATTTATTTTGAGTCCCGAATCTGTTCATAAGATTATGTGGTTTATGTTCCGGACCTATGATCCTAGTACTTATAGACTATGCAGAGACAGTACAACAGAAATTGATATCATGGAAGTAGTAACCCCGTGATCACTTGCATTTACGTCATAGCATGTTTATTTTTCAGAAAGAAATGTCAGAAAGATGAAATGTACTAACCTTGCATGTGCATGTCCATTTCGGGGTACCTCTCTGGCATAATTCCCGTCAGTAATGTTTAGCAACAGTTATGTTTTCAAGAGGACCAAGGGAGACAATTATACTTATCAGTGCTACTCAAGTTTTCCGCTCAAGTTCTCGGCCTTCTTTGAAGAGTCTAAAAGACCGTTTTAGTCTGTCCCAACGCAGAGTTTCTATCGAAAGACATGGAGGTATTTTGACCCTACTTCAGTTTTACAACTACGAGTTACACCTTCCAGGACTATCAAATTGTTCCAATTCCGGAAGAACGATCCCCTTTGCTGAGCACCTACTTGTTGCTAGTCCGGACGGGCATGATTTTGAAACTATCATTAAGGCACTTTATTTGGGCCTTGGCAATGTGAGATGAAATGGGAGAAGAATGGTAACCTACCTCCGAACTGATTATTATATTGTTACCGATAATTTTGTTAGAAAGATTTGCTCATCTTATACTCCCATAACCTCCTCGTATTCAATCATGTGGGAATTTCTCTTATTTCTGGATATTTTCTTCATACGGTCGTTCTTGTTATCATGTTGCTCGATTACTGATGATGGTAATTGAACCATGGAAAACCAGAATGGATAATCATTTCATACATCATACATGTCATGCATTTCATGAATTGCAAGTTTTCTGGCAGGAATTCTTATATGATGATTTTGCCTTTTATGATAGAATCTACAAGACGACTTCCCTACATCCTTATCGCACTCGAGCCAACAAGTTGAGGATTATGGAACAGATTGAGCAGAATCAGGCCACTCTCTGCAAAGACATGGACACCATGGGTGATCGAATGAATCAGATCATGGAAACTCTTTATGCCGTCATCCAAGGGCAGGAAGAGCTCGGAATAAGCGTTACTAAACTGGTGGACAATGCCTCCATGTCCGAGAATGGTGGACCCAAGAATGAACATGGGGGGATTCCTAAGGAGAACCCACGATTGATTATGGATGACCACCACGATGTCATCGATCTCGATGACCCTCCGAAGGATTCTACGGCTGATTTGTCTGAAACTGCTAAGATGTATAAGGCTCTGGAAGAACGTTTAAAGGCTATGGAGACTTCTAAGAAACCAGGATTCAGTGCCGCTAATATGTGTTTGGTTCCGGGGGTTGTGATTCCGCCAAAGTTTAAAGTACCTGAATTTGATAAGTATAAGGGGGTTACATGCCCAGAGACTCATCTCTGATCTTACTGCAGAAAGATGGCTGCTTATGCTAGCAATGAGCCGTTGCTTATGCATTTCTTTCAGGATAGTCTTGCTGAAGCTCCATTAGAGTGGTACATGTAGTTAGAGCAAACTCATATTAGTAACTGGAGTGAGCTTGTTGACGCTTTCCTAAAACATTATTACTACAACACCGCCATGGCACCTAGCCGTGCACAGCTTCAGAGTATGTCTCAAAAGACTAGTGAGTCTTTCAAAGAGTATGCCCAGAGATGGCACAGTTTGGTCGCAAGAGTTCAACCTCCTCTCTAAGACCGGGAACTGGTAGATTTGTTTATGAGTACTCTCCGAGGCCCGTATCTACAACATATGCCCAGCAGTACTTCAAATTCATTTTCCGATATGGTCATCATCAGGGAGCGGGTTAAAATGTGTATTAAAGTAGGGACTATTTCAGGTGCATCTGGCACGAATGGTAACAACAACTCAGGTGGTGGAAAGAAACTGTACTCTAGCGGCTTCGTTAAGAAAAAGGAAGGAGAGGTGAGCAACGCCTCTGATGATAAGGGGGAAGCTACTATACAGGTTCCATATTATCAAACCCCTGCTGCTGCTCCACAACAACAATACACACTGTCGCGAAACTATCAACAGAACCCAAGGCCCCAGGGGTAGAGGGGTCAACAAAGGCAGCAAAGGTATCCTGAGAGGAAGTTGGATCCAACCCGATGTCGTACGCCCAGTTGCTTCCACAATTACTAGTTGGTCAGTTGGTACAGCTCTGAGTATTGGCTCCCCCACCAGCAGAACTTCCAAGGGGTTATGATGTCAATGCACGTTGTGAGTTTCATTCAGGAGCTCCAGGTTATTCAATCGAAAACTGCAGAGCCTTAAAGTACAAGGTGTAAGATCTTTTGGAGGCGAAGGAGTTAAACTTCGCTCCTATAGGCCCTAATGTTCAGAATAGTCCTATGCCTCCCCACCATGGGGCTGCTGCCAATGCTATTGGGTTCGACGATAACCACGACTTAGTGACTCA